GTTGGTTAGAGATATTGACTATCAATCTAAAGGACTCGAGTTCAAGTCTTTGTAATGACTTTTTTTCTCGTAAGAAGATATTTTAGTTCTAAGTTGAACTTACAAATTTACCCATAGCTACAATTAAGGATAGTGCAAGGAATTTGAAATGCTTAAAATCTACTGAAGAACGACTATCTATTATAGAGGGATTATGTTTATGTTTGAGTTACTGTTTAGGATTGGTATTATATTAATTAAGGGTGTAAATTAGTTAGGAAAAAATTATTGAGTCTTCGTGGGATTAGTGAGTAATTAGGTATTTCCAAGTTCATATATAAATATGTATGTTATTGTTGTCTTTGATTTTATTCTATGAATAAGAATTCAGTTTATACTTTTAGGAGTGGAAGTAATGTAGATTTTGTAAATGTATCATATTATTACATGAATCAAACTATAAGTTTAAAACAGTCATACATTTAAAACAATATAAATCATATTAAAAATTGATTTCAGGATTAGAGTTGTATAATATTCAATGGAAAAGAATGTGAAATCAAGTAGCACAAAACATTATGAAGTAACTAAACATGTTTTTATTTTTAGAATCCATTTTCAGGCTCCATCAAAATTCTCAGCTAAACAAGTTTTCTTCAGGTTTTGTTTCACGAGAAACAACAACTTCGTTTTTTCAGAATTTGTTTTTTTTTTTCCAAAACCACAAAAAATGAAATGACAAATGAACGGCACATAACTATCACCCAAAGCATATATGGCAGACAATGCCAGTCTTCTGACTAATTGTCACTTGCGTCCGATACATAAAGATTAAGTTCTTATAAGTTATAAAAACCAACTTTTTGTATTTCTTCTTTGAATAAAATATCTTCACTTATCTAAAAAAAAAAAGTTCTTATAACAACCTACTGACTAATATATATACACCATAAATAAAATTATATAAAATACCCTGAATTTCGCTGTCTTTACTCATTGCATATATAAGATGACTTCATTGCTTCCTTTTATTCTGTTGTCCAATTGCAGACTTCACAGATTATGATAATATATATTCTGTAACAAACAAAAAACAACGTATTCAATGACATCAAACAGAGCCTAAAATTATATTAATGAAAGAAGAAAAGAACAGGGCCAAAGTCAGCGGTAGTAGAGAGTGAGAGTTTAGTAGGAATGGCAATGGGCAGGTCCGGGGAGGGTTTCTTGGTATCCAGACCCGCCCCGTGGCAGGTCGGGTTCAGGTCGAGTAATTGAACACGGGTCGCGGGTCGGGGCAGGTCTACCCAATGGGTATGCAATTTATATGAAAAACATTAGAAATATTCGTTATTTTTATTATAAGACTAAGAAAACAAACAATATTATGACAATTGTAGTTAAATTATTGGAGAAATTGAGATTTTTACTAATTTACAACTTTATTATAACTAAAATATGATGCAATAAAAGGAAAATTCTCAGTAATTTGACTAAGATTACATGTGATTTAGACAAGAATGGGTCGAGAATGGGGCGGGTCAGGGCAGGTCGGGTCGATGAGACTACCCATGCCCGCCCCGCCCCGCCTATGTGGTGGGTCGGACCCGCCCCAAAACAGGTCAAACAGGTCGGGTAAAACGGATCAGGTCGAAATTGCCATCCCTAGAGTTTAGGTTATGCCCATAATGTGCCAGGAGAAGAACGGCTGATCATTATTAAATTAGTTTATGGGCTAGGCACGTTGTTGTCTGCCTTTTCCTGATTGTTATTAATTAATTTAGTTTAAAAGGTCGCCCGTATAATTAACTAATTTAATTAGTTGCTCCAGCTCGTTTTGGGTGCTATCAGCTATGCCATTATTCCACTCTTGACCAACTCCATCTTCGTCTTATTAAATTTTTTTTTTGGGTAGAATCAGGGGCGGACCTAGGGCAAGGGGAGGGGTGTCGTCCGACACCCCTCCGCTCGAAAATTTTGTGAAGGACCTTCATTTTTTCGGTACAAATTTTTTAATTTGGAATTTCCGACACCGCTCTAATATTTATAAGCGACATACTTTCATTATATGACAATAGTTTTAATGTTATAAAGTTATTCGTCATAATTAGTAATTAACAATAATAAGTAAAATTAAATAAGCATGCTTGTTTTAAGTAACCCACAACCCAATTTAACTTATTGATTTGTAGTTAATAGGTGAATTGCCTATATTTATGGGAGATTGTGGTTTGATTTTGGTTAATTTGATAGAACTAGAGAAAAAATGCTAATGATATTACTTAGGCATACTTTGTTTTTTCTAAAATAGCCGATTGGTAGCAAACTAATTTATTTTAATTTAATTTGATTTTAGACGTAGGTCGATTCTCTTTAGTTGAGTGACTAATTTATGAATGATTATGTAGTTGTGTATATCGAAAAAGGTTTGATTTGCAACATAAACGATGAATGTATTTTAAAAAAATCTCAAATATGAAAAATCGTCATAATTCGTAGCAAACATGAGGTTGTGAACTTATAAATAAATTTCCAGTAATTTCTATTAAATTTTTATTTCATTATCTTAATTATTATAATTTTTATCGGCGACACCCCTCTTCAATAATCCTGGGTCCGCCACTGGGTAGAATCGTCTATATTAATTTGATTGGACAGCCATCTACAGCGCCTACAGCCTCAAAAAGCCAATATTGTGCCAACATACATGAACAGTACCAATTTTTGGGCTATAAAGAAGGAGGTCTTCTTCAGCTCTGGGAGAAGAAGCAGCAACGAAGGAAAAATCATTCACCCACTTCTTCCTCCTCAAAATTTCAGACGCCAACAGAAGCCAAAAAGAACAGTGAAAGAGAAAGAAGGGAGCAGCTCTAAGAAAAAAAAAACTCTCTTCCGCTTCTGCCTCTCCAAAACACACCAAAGGAACACAAAAATCGCAAACAAAAACTGCAGCTAGCACACCAAAGCAAAAACACAAGGGCAGCAGAAATACCCACAGAAAGGAGGAAAGCAGCTCCAACCCTTCACTCAAACTTCAGACTCAAGGTTGGTTGCAGAAACTGAATCCTTCCTTTTAATTCCATCATCATTCATAATCATCTAACTTCTCCTACCCATGTAAAGTAAAGTTTTTACTCCAACCAAATTACAATCTGACCTAAAAAAACCCCTTAAAATATCAGATTCAATCAATCCCAATTAAATTACAAGATGAAGAATGCTTTGCACATGTATCTCTTCAAATTGTTTTACGGGAATAATTCAGAAGTACACTTCTATTCCAAATTGTCAATTCCTTTACCAATACAAGGTGTTAGAGGAGTGGTTGTGCTCTTGAAAGGAATATATCGACAACGGCAAGTCCACGAGTTTCAATCTCATCAACACCTTGTTGCGACAAGTTTACGACAAAGTTTTAATATTTATAAACGGGAAGTATATTGAATATTGATTCCTTTATGTGAGTTTAATTATATCTAAGAATAGTTGAAGCCTCAATATATTGTCGGTAGAGAATGAGTTTAGGTTATGCCCATAATATGCCAGGAGAAGAACAACGGAGATTATTAAATTAGTTTCTGGGCTTTTTTTACGATTATTATTAATTATTACAGTTTAAAAGCTCATCCGTATATATAACTAATTTAATTAGTTGGTCCAGCTCCAGTCAATGTAGTTTAACGGATAAATAGAGAATATATCGACTAATTATGTCAACTCTCTGTATTGTGATTTTTATATATAAAAAAGCATGAGTATTCTCCTTTTGTGTCGCACGTTTCTACCCAATTAAGAAACTAATTTAATACCTAAGCGTAGAAATCCAGCATGAATCTACTCAATTAAGAAAGAAATTAAAGTTGTATCGCCTGCTGGAGGTTACTTTACTGAAATAATCAAGAATGGGAAGGATACATGAATATTTAATTATATATCAAAGTGAAGTAAGGTTACTGTTGTCGAAATTATTACATTTTGATACCCCAAATTTAATTAATTACAACTTAATCATTATAATATACATTTTTCATTATAATACCCCAAATTTAATTTTAATGTAAAACGATTGAACAATTATGTTTTGATATCTAAATTTTATGAGATTTTCATATTTATAGTTTTTTAAATTTACATATCGGTCCAATATTTATATTTCACTTGAATCCATGAATCCAATCCACCATAACATAGAAGTATAAATTTAGTTTGTACCATACAAGATGTTGTATCACTCAACTGTAGGAGAAGATTCGACCAATTTATATTTGATCATTATGTGAAACATTAAATAACTGATAAAAGCGAGTTGACTCTAAAATATTGCAAGAGTGAATTTACAAATTCATTTAGTACATTTACGGGGTACTAAACAAATGTCATACTAATTAAATCTAAACTTATATACCAAGATCAAGAAAAAAAGTGATTTCATTGTCCCCATAGCCATGAAAACTAAATCTAAACTTATATACCAAGATCAAGTTTACTCCACAACAATCCTCAACTTCAATAAGAAACCAGGCTGTTCTTGCTTAGGAGCAGAGTGTCATATTTTACATTTTTAGGCAACAGAAAACACCTCCCACCACGTGTCCATATCCTGGGTAACGTGGGACCTACCACAAAACCCCCTCAATGATCTTCATTGGTGACGATTATCAAGAGCGTAAATTAAAGTCAACCCTAAAAAATAAGCATAATCACTGGTCGTCGCATGTTCATTTTCCCATGCGCCTATTTTATTTACTCTACACCCGCCCTCAGGTGATCATTTCTATATTGGTTGTAGCTCGGCGCGCCTCCCTTTCCTTTCCTCTCCCCTATATATACAGTACCCTCCATTTTCGCTCTCTCTGAGTTTTTCCAGTGTGCCATGTTCACTCACTTAATACCTCCCGGTCGCCATATAACTATAAGGAATGAGTTAGGAAGCTGATCATTAAAAACTAGAATTATCTCTCTGCTAATTTTCGCTCTGGTTTTCAGAAAGAAAAAATTAAGAGTTCCAAAGAGTCGGAGATATGGGAGGAGAAGAAGGGAAGAAGAAGGAGAAGGGGAGCGAGCCAGGGTCGATAAAGTCGATTTTTATGCATGCAGATGGAGTCGATTGGGTTCTGATGTTGTTTGGTTGCATTGGCTCGCTTGGGGATGGCTTCACAACTCCGCTCATGTTGTTGATTACTAGCAAGGTGATGAACAACATGGGCGGCTCTGCAAACGGCTCCAAGGAAGCTTTTCTTCATAGCATTAACATGGTCGGTTTAAGCCTTTTAAATTGGTTATGTGGAAGTTAACGGAATTTCGGATTTGGATTGTTTATGTTGTTCGTGTTGTTTGTTCTTGGGTTGATGCAGAATGCGCAGGCGCTTTGTTACTTGGCTGTTGGACAATGGGTCCTCTGTTTCATGGGTCAGTGGGTTTTCGTTTTGCTTTTATTGATGCCTTTTATCTTGTTGTTGAATTGCCTGAGAGAGAAATTTTATTACTATAGTGTTGAATTTTGTTTCAATTGGTCTTTATGGTTTTCCTCCGCTCTTCTTGTAATTGTAGAGGGATATTGCTGGACTAGAACGGGGGAAAGACAAGCTTCAAGAATGCGAGCAAGGTATTTGAAAGCAGTTATGAGACAAGAAGTGGGCTACTTTGACTTGCATGTAACAAGCACAGCAGAGGTCATAACGAGTGTCTCTAATGACAGTCTAGTCATTCAAGATGTTCTTAGTGAAAAGGTTGGTGGGTAGTGTAGTAGCTCTCTTCTTCTCTGTTCTTTATCTCCTTCACATGATGATGTTCTTGTAAGCTAAGATCAAAGTTTTTTTTTTCCAGGTTCCCAATTTCTTGATGAACTTCTCCATGTTCTTGTCCTGCTACCTAGTCGGTTTGGTAATGTTGTGGAGGTTGGCGCTTGTGGGGTTCCCTTTCATTGTCCTCTTGGTGATTCCTGGGATAATGTATGGAAGAACTCTAATGGTGCTGGCTAGAAAGATCAGAGATGAATACAACAAGGCAGGAAACGTAGCAGAACAGGCCATCTCTTCGGTCAGAACTGTGTACGCCTTTGTTGCTGAGAATAAAACTACTGCAGCGTACTCAGCAGCTCTTGAGTTCTCCGTAAAACTGGGCTTGAAGCAAGGTCTGGCGAAAGGACTTGCTATTGGCAGCAATGGTGTCGTTTTTGCTATTTGGTCATTCATGTGTTACTACGGCAGCAGAATGGTCATGTACCATGGCGCTGAAGGAGGGACTGTCTTCGCAGTTGGCGCTGCCATTGCTGTTGGTGGATTGTAAGTCTTTTAAACATTCATCTGAATTTTCAGTTCTCAATTTCTTAAAGTTTTATTAATCTTGTTTCTTTTTTTTGAACAGAGCACTTGGGGCAGGACTCTCGAACCTTAAGTACTTCTCAGAAGGATGCTCAGCAGGAGAACGAATCCAGCAAGTGATAAAGAGAGTTCCCAAGATAGATATAGCGAACCCAGAAGGGGAAATCCTGGAAAACGTGAGGGGTGAAGTTGAATTGAGGAATGTTCAGTTTGCATACCCATCAAGGCCAGAGAGCATAATCTTCAGAGATTTCTGCCTCAAAGTTCCATCGGGGAAGACTGTAGCTTTAGTGGGCGGCAGCGGATCAGGGAAATCAACAGTGATAGCACTGTTGCAGAGATTTTATGATCCACTGGGTGGTGAGATACTGCTTGACGGGGTAGCCATTGACAAGTTGCAGCTGAAGTGGCTGAGGTCACAAATGGGGTTGGTCAGCCAAGAGCCTGCACTGTTTGCAACTTCCATCAAGGAAAACATACTTTTTGGGAAGGAAGATGCTTCCATGGATGAGATTATTGCTGCTGGTAAAGCTGCTAATGCTCATAACTTCATTTGTCAGTTACCTCAGGGCTATGATACTCAGGTTAGTTTGCTTCTGCTTTGTCTTTTACCCTCAACATAACATATTTTGTTTACAACTGTTTATGGTGTTAGGAAAAAAAGTCAAAAACCATACGCAATTGGTTACTTGATGGGCGTGAAAACAAACTTTGACCTGCCACTAGTTGAATACTATATTTGCATAAGCGGTGTCTCATTTGATAAATATATACTCTGCCGCTTATCATACTAAGTTACCTATATATCTCGTCTCCCCTAAAGTTTCGTTTTTGGCTTGTCTCCTGGTCCCCTTTGCGAATTAAATTTTGTCGGTTATCCTTTCATGCAAGTGGGAATTACTTTCCCTAGACCTTGAAATGAGCAGCCATGGCAGAATTTTCTTTCATTGTGTGACATTTGGTATAAGTTCGTTGTACTTTCTGTTTAAAAATACATTGGGAAGGAGCACGTTGAAGGAACTATTACCAACCATTCCTTTGGTCCCAAGGTTCTTTCCATGTTCTACCTATAGCCTATTTTCGGCAGAATCTTAAATATTATAAGCTTTAGAAGACATGTTCTGTTTGTAGTACTGATCTTTTAGTTCACAGGAGTTGTCACCAACAAGGGATAGGGTAACATGTACCTCAATCATTCCTTGTCTCATAGACTTTTGGCTTTGGAATTATGTTCTAGGTTAGATACACATTTAAGAACTTGGTTATGTAGGGTTGCTTAACATGAAGAATCAATTCATCATAATATTTAGAGTTTTTTTAAAGAGATAAAAAAAAATGAATTTATATCATTTTTCCATATGTCTTGTCAAAACATAATTAGATCATGAATTTGAAGTGTGCATAATATCATCATGCTCATATTTGTCGGTAAATTAAGCTCTAACTTCATGTTTGGAGTCCATTTGTTTTAGTAGTTCAATTATTGTGAGACTTGAAGAATTGAAGGTATTCCATTTCCTTAGTCTTAGCGCCCTTTTCCCAACTGTTAAATTACAAAATTGATGAACCATTTGGAGTGGTGAATTGGCAGGTTGGTGAGAGAGGAGTGCAAATGTCAGGAGGTCAAAAACAGAGGATAGCCATAGCAAGAGCAGTGATCAAAGCACCAAGGATCCTCCTCCTCGATGAAGCAACTAGCGCATTGGACTCCGAATCCGAAAGGGTCGTCCAGGCAGCACTAGACAAGGCAGCCGTCGGCCGGACAACGATCATCATCGCTCACCGCCTCTCCACAGTCCGTGACGCCGATGTCATCGCCGTGGTCCAAAACGGCGAGGTCATGGAAACAGGGTCCCACGACGAGCTCATCCAAAACCCTGATGGACTCTACACATCCTTAATCCACCTCCAACAAACACAAAACGATACAGAAGACACTAATGATCACAGTACTGGACCCCAAACCTTGATGGCATCCTCTGCTCGCTTGTCAATCGACATGAACAACACAAGCAGCCGGAGAATGTCCATGGTGAGCAGGTCAAGCTCGGCAAACTCCGTGGCCACACATAGTCGAGGCGGCTCGGTAGCCGGAGACAACCAGAACAATCTGACCGTCGCAGAGCATGACTTCCCGGTGCCATCATTCAGAAGGCTTATGGCACTGAACCTCCCTGAGTGGAAGCAAGGGCTTCTCGGTTGCTCGGGAGCGGTTCTGTTCGGTGGGATTCAGCCTGTCTACGCTTTCACCATGGGTTCCATGATATCTGTGTTTTTCTTGTCCGATCATGACGAGATCAAACGCAGGACGGCCATCTACTCGCTGAGCTTTCTCGGGCTCGCCTTTGTTTCCATGGTTGTCAATGTTGTGCAGCACTACAATTTTGCTTACGTTGGGGAGTGTCTGACCAAGCGGATCAGGGAGCGGATGTTCTCAAAGATTCTGACTTTTGAGGTTGGCTGGTTCGATCAGGACGAGAACTCCAGCGGCGCAGTTTGCTCTAGGCTCGCCAAAGATGCCAATGTGGTAAGCAGTTTCGGCCTCTCTGTTTATTTGCCGGTTAATTAATCAATAATATTAGAAAATCATATTTAGAGTAACTTCACTAGCTGGAGTACAATGATTAATTGATGATTGCATTTTAATTATGTTTTGTTCTGTCGTCACAACCTTTTCTTTTAATAGTGTATAACTCCAAAACTTAACTGTCTTTCTTTTTCTTCTTATCAATATCACCTTTTTTATAAAGTTTGACATTGATTAAAATATTAAGTTTTGTAAGGTTAATAATAATTAATTAATAATATGCATAGTACTAGCTCAGTTTATGTCCTGTGGTTGTTAGGATGCTTAATCAAACATAACAGAAAAACAAAAGAGTCACATCATTTATCTGCTTTGTCCTTAACACCTCACCAATTATTAATTATAGCTTACTTGTCCTTTTTTTTATAAGAGCTTACTTGTCCTTATTCAGAGGATTAGCACACAAAAAGAGGATTAGCAAAAGCGAGTTGTATTAAGTTGGATGAAATTTATTATGATTATGATTTTACTGTCGTACCATTTTTTTATTCAACTTGTTTTTTTCCAGTCGACCAGTCCTTAGCATATGACACTTTTTTTCTTTGCATTTTATAGGTTGTGTTGCAATCTCTGTTTTTATCAAATAATGAAAATTTTGAAAGGGAACAATTTAAGATGCTCTCATCAGAAAAGAACAATTTAATATGCTACGAAGTACGAAAAAGACAAAATTATTCATTAGTCTGTAAAAAAATTTAGTGAATTTGGACTAGCAAATAAGATCGATGTAAGTACATGTTTATTCTCCTTCATAATCGATGTGTCCGTTAATGTACGAGTACGACTTCCATTCATTATTTTGTATGTGTCGGGTACATTTTTTGTATAATGGTGAATTGGTGATGAGTTACATGACACCTATTTGAACTTGAATCCAACACTTGATGGATATAAACCTATCCAAGTCTGATTCGTTTTAACTTTTAAGTAAGAAGGATCACCAAACTTTGATGTGACTTCAGCCTTCAAGTCAATTGTGTTTATCTACACGACTACACTCTAATGGAGGTAATGATCGTGCTTGTTGAACAGGTGAGATCCGTGGTGGGAGACCGACTGGCACTGATCGTGCAAACCATTTCCGCCGTAATAATCGCCTGCACGATGGGTCTAGTCATCGCATGGCGGCTGGCCATCGTGATGATCGCCGTCCAGCCGCTGATCATTGTCTGCTTCTACACCCGCCGCGTGCTCCTCAAATCCATGTCCCAGAAGGCCATCAAGGCCCAAGACGAGAGCAGCAAGGTCGCCGCCGAGGCCGTCTCCAACCTCCGCACCATCACGGCCTTTTCCTCCCAGGACCGCGTCCTGGGCATCCTCGAGCAGGCCATGCAGGGCCCACGAAAAGAGAGCATCCGCCAGTCCTGGTACGCCGGGCTGGGCCTCGGCACTTCCCAGAGCCTCATGTCGCTGACTTGGGCCTTGGACTTCTGGTATGGCGGCAAGCTGATCTCGCAGGGCCACATCACGGTCAAAGCCCTGTTCGAGACTTTCCTGATCTTGGTCAGCACCGGTCGTGTCATCGCCGATGCCGGAGCCATGACTTCGGATCTCGCCAAAGGATCCGACTCGATCGGGTCCGTCTTCGCCGTGTTGGATCGAGTCACGAAGATCGAGCCGGAGGACGAGGAAGGAGGGGAGAAGCCGGAGAAGATCAACGGACAGATCGAGCTTAGAGACGTCGATTTCGCGTACCCGGCCAGACCTAATGTCATGATCTTTAAGGGCTTCTCGATCCGGATCGAGGCCGGGAAATCGACGGCTTTGGTCGGGCAGAGCGGATCGGGGAAATCGACAATCATCGGGCTGATCGAGCGGTTCTACGACCCGATTAGAGGTTCCGTGAAGATCGACGGCCGTGACATTCGATCGTACCATCTGAGATCCCTGAGACGACACTTCGCGCTGGTGAGCCAGGAGCCGACGCTGTTCGCCGGGACGATCAAGGAGAACATCGCGTACGGCGCGGCGACGGAGAACGTCGGCGAGGCTGAGATCGTGGAGGCGGCGAAGGCGGCCAACGCTCATGACTTCGTGGCCGGGTTGAAGGACGGGTACGACACGTGGTGCGGGGACAGAGGGGTGCAGCTGTCCGGCGGGCAGAAGCAGAGGATCGCGATCGCGCGTGCGGTGCTGCGGAACCCAGCGGTTCTGCTGCTGGACGAGGCGACGAGCGCGTTGGACAGCCAGTCGGAGAAGGTGGTTCAGGACGCGCTGGAGCGGGTAATGGTTGGACGGACCAGCGTGGTGGTGGCTCATCGGCTGAGCACGATTCAGAACTGCGATGCGATTGCGGTGTTGGATAAGGGGAGAGTGGTGGAGAGAGGGACCCACTCGTCCTTGTTGGCAAAAGGGCCCGCTGGTGTCTACTTCTCGTTGGTCAGTCTACAGCGGACCCCATCAAGCCACGTGTTTTACTGAGTTTTAAGTTAATGTTAATTGTTTTTCTTAATTATCGTCGTAGAAGGGTGAGTAATTACTAATTAGGATGTGCGGCAGGAGAGTAGTAGGGTTGTTTTCTCATCCCATCCCTCAAAAAATAATCAACAAGGTGTTATAACTTATAAGTTGTAACGAGCACAAGTAAAAATGTAATTAAGTATAAGTGCAAGAAGCACGAATAATGGTAATTTTTCTTGATTTGGCGGTTTCACTTCAAATGGCCAATCTCCCACCCCCTAACATCGTCGGTCCGATAATAGTGATGATCGCGGAGTGGTTCCACATGTCAGAAATTGAAAGGCAGAGAAGGTAGAATAGTTTATGCTTTCCGTTGATGGGAAGGTGGTGGGTACAACCGTACAAGGGGACTCGCTCTTCCTTTCCAACGAAATGATCTATCGGAGATTACCATTCATTGATTAGTCTCCGTCGTATTTCGCTTGCTAGTTCTTGTTTAAGCTAAACCACTAAGTAACCGGTTATGAATTTCGAAATTGAGTTCTATTATCAGTTGCTTAGAGTGTTTGCTGTGAGTTTTGGGAAATGTAAACATCAGAAAATTGTAAAAGTGATATCCACTTCATTGATTGGAGAACATCGGGATGATTTGATATCCACGTCAACATATTATATTTTTTCCTCGACATTTTCTGTGCAATGTGATGCCAAGTTGATCTTATCTTTTATGTGTTTGTTATGCATGATTAGCTTTTACAACAGTAAGGTAAAGAATGTTAGGATTACTATGGTTATGAGTGAGTAACAAGATTAGGATTTTAATGAAAAGAATAGAACTTGGTTGTACCAATGCTCTCATTATTGAACAAAAAACAATATGGGAGGGGACCAAGGAAGGATTATGTTGTACATATAGGTTAATGTATTTGCAACTTATTGATAATATTGCAAGGACGAAGTCTCCATCACTAGAAAAAATTAAAGAAATGCTCCTTGTCCTTGCAATCGTTTAAATTAGTCTTGAGCTTTCCCAGATGATGTAATGAGAAGGAAAGGCATAGTGAAAATCCAACCAACCATGATTCAGCTTTTGCTTGGTTTTACATGCTTCAGTTGTTAAGGAATATTTGATCCATGTCATTGTACGGAAGCAAGTTTCATTGACCTCACTCAACTCTCCATGCTTTGCATATAACAGCTTGACAAAACCAGCCTTCTGATAAGCTTTTCCTGGTAATCTAATTAGTTCAGTACAGATGCAATCATCCATCTACAGCCTACAGCCTCAAAAAGCCAATTATATTGTGCCAACAAACAAGAACAGTAGCACTTTTTGGGCTATAAAGAAAGAGGTCTTCTTCAGCTCTGGGGGGCAGAATCAACAACAAAGGAAAAATCATTCACCAACTTCTTCTTCTTCTTCCTCCTCCTCCTCCTCCTCAAAATTACAGACGCCAACAGAAGCCAAAAAGAACAGTGAAAGAGAAAGAAGGGGGCAGCTCTAAAAAAAAAAACACTCTTCCGCTTCTGCCTCTCCAAAACACACCAAAGGAACACAAAAATCGCAAACAAAAACAACAGCACACCAAAGCAAAAACACAAGAGCAGCAGAAATACCCACGGAAAGGAGGAAAGCAGCTCCAACCCTTCACTCAAACTTCAGACTCAAGGTTGGTTGCAGAAACTGAATCCTTCCTTTTAATTCCATCATCATTCATAATCATCTAACTTCTCCTACCCATGTAAAGTAAAGTTTTTACTCCAACCAAATTACAACCTGACCTAAAAAACTCTTAAAATATCAGATTCAATCAATCCCAATTAAATTATAAGATGAATACTTTCATCTACTTGTCATTATCGATTTACTTTATCAGTTCCATTTTCATTCAAGCACTTTATAGTTTATACACCGTCAGCTAACTTGCTACACATTTCCACTCAAGCAATTTACTATTACCATCAGCCAATAGCATCATTTACATTTCCTTTAATCTCTCTTCGAATTAAGCACTTTATATTTTCCTCAGCTATTGTCTAATGTAATGAGCATTTCTACTATGCTATATAGTATTGGTGCTTTAATGTACAACTTAAAGTTGTACCATAACATGAAATGTATAAGTTTAGATTGTACCATAAAAGAATTTGTATCATTATGTAAAAGTACAACTTTACAACTTGAAGTTGTACCATTACATAAATGTACAAGTTCAAGTTGTACCATAAAAGAATTTGTACAAACAGTATAGGTATAATCTAAAGTTGTACCACAACGTTAAATGTACAATTTCAAGTTGTACCATAAAAGCAAAAACCTATAGCACCAATACTATATAGCATTGTAAAATTCCTCCTAATGTATATGCTTACTTTCTACACAGGATAATCTCATTTTCTACCAACTTTTTATACTTTTAGTTAAGTTTCCTAGTTCACTATTTCAATAAGCTACATATTAAGTATGATCTTGTTTAACTAATGCCATTTTACAATTTTTTTATTTTCTAGAACTTAGGATGAAAATGCCATATCATCATGCGTATAAAACAAAAACAAATTCACTAATTTCCCAAATCCCACAAATTGCCGCCGCTGAAATCATCCCCACCAAACCTCAAACACTCGGAATAACCAGAAATCAAAATTAAATATCAGTTTCTTATATCTAAAATCAGAAGAGAGTTTCATGAAATATCACCTAGCTAGCTCACACTCTCTGTAATTAGGAGGAGGAAAATTGGATCTCTAGACCACCAATCCTTCATTCTGATTGTAATTTTTGGTCCATGACTTAATAAAATCGATCCAAGTCTTCCATAAAAATATAAAAAAGTTCGCAAGGACAACAAATCAAAGTCAGAATCTGAAAACCAAAAGAAAAAAAAGTTGTTAAAAATCTTACCGAAAAGGTCTCCTCTTCGTCATCGTCTTCGCCGGAACCGGGGATGCCGCTGTCATCACAATCGGCGACTACCCCGCTGTCGTCGTCTTTTTTTCTTCTTTCTTTCTAGTCGTCGTTTCCAAGATGAAAGAGTGGAGGAGAAGTCAAATCGAGTAAGGGAGAGAGAGGCATGTCGAGGGTTCGAGGGAGATGAGGTTGTTTGGAAGTTGTGATTCTTCAAATTAATGTATTGGGACAATTAATATATTATCATTTGATGGATTGAATCAATTGATGTATTAGGTAAATATCTTGTTTGGAGGTTTAGATTGTGTTTTTGTTCCAAAGGTAAAAAAGTTAGTATTGAGTGATTGTGAAGAATCTCAACAAAAAGTAGAGATTGTAAATCCCTCAATATTGAGTGATTGTGGTGGGGTCTCCAAAAAGTAAATGCATGTATTCTAGTTCTATATAAACAAAAAAAAAACGACTTAATCTCACAAATACATGAATTAGATCAATACACCATTTGATATCACAACTTCCAAACGGTTGCTGACGGAGTATAAGAAGAATCCAAAGGATTCAAAGGGCAAGGTGAATTGATTCAAGGGACAAGATTGAAATGTTGTAAAATGTGAGGAGGGTGCAAATGAGAGGGATAAACACAATTTTCAACACATTTGCACCCGATTGGATGATTTGTAACAGTAGGGGGTGCAGAATTACTATTTTGCCTTACTTTTGAATTGAGGTGCAAGGGAAGGAAGGAAGGAGGGTGAGGGGGAGGGAGAGAGGAGGAAAATTATTTTTCTAATAAATTTTTAATTAAAATTAATAATTTTGCTGTGGATTGATCGGTTCCCTGAGACTATGGTCAAACACTTTACGGACCAGGGATCTGATCACAGGGCGTTACTGGTTTCTGACAAATCGTACCCCCGGATCTGTCGGCCCCTATTTCGGTTTGATGCTCGGTGGGCGAATAACCCGGAGGTGAGGGCCATGGTGAAGTATGTGTGGTGTGAGGAAGAGGTGGTGGGATCTCCAATGTTTAAACTTTGGAATAAGTTGAAAAGGCTGCACCACCTTTTATACGACTGGAGTCGAGCGGGGACGACTAATTCCCTCCGGAATATTAGAACCCTCCAAACGGAGATTGACCGCACTAAGCAGGTTTTTCCAGTGAACTGGGAGGAGGTTCGGGTCCTGGAGAGTGAGCTGAGTCGCCAATGGGAAGCGGAGGAAGTGTATTGGCAGCAGAAGTCGAGAGTACGGTGGCTGAAGAGAGGGGATCAGAACACTTCATACTTCCATACGGTCACTCGGGCCAGAAGGAAAAGGAATTTTGTGGAGCGACTTCGAAAGGAAGATGGGGAGTGGATCACGGAGGAAAAGGGGAAGGAGGATTTGGCCATTGATTTCTATCAAACTCTTTTCACCTCAGAGAACCAAATTCCGGATATGCGGACCAGGGTTGATGCCCTTCCGATAGCCCGTAAGGTCACGGATGAAATGAATACCCGGTTGATTGCCCCGGTGCTCCCGGAGGAGGTTCGTAGAACAATCTTTGCCATGGGATCTAAGCAGGCCCCTGGTTCGGATGGGTTCACAGGAAAGTTCTTCAAGGCTTTCTGGGATATTGTGAGTAGTTCGGTGGTTGAGGCTGTTTGCTCCTTCTTCCAAACAGGCAAGCTGTTACGCAGTTTCAATCATACCTTGCTAACCCTGATCCCAAAAGTGGAGAATGTGGAGACTATTCGCCAGCTTCGGCCTATTAGCCTCTGTCAGTTCGTTTACAAGGTGATTGCCAAGATTATGACGGAAAGACTGGCTCCGTTCCTACCCCGGATTGTGTCGATAGGGCAGAATGCGTTTATCCGGGAGCGTCAGATAGTGGAGAATGTGTTGCTGGGGCATGAGTTAATGCACTACCTAAAAACAAAAAATCGTGGGAAGAAGGGATACATGGCTCTGAAGGTTGACATGGAAAAGGCCTATGATAGAGTCGAATGGTCCTTTCTCCTTACGATTCTGGCCAAACTAGGTTTCAGCCAGACCTGGATTGGCTGGGTTAGGGAGTGCCTTAGCTCGGTTTCGTTTTCCATTCTAATGAATGGTTCGCCTGCAGGATTCT